CCACTGAGCATCACATCCTCAAGGTTCATCCGGGTTGCAGTGTGCATTTGAAGGCCGCCGCTATTCCGGGATGCGGGTGGACCACATCTTATTCTTTTCTCCTCTGTCAGCAGACAACACCATTCAGCTGTTGGGAATGAAGCTGCCGTTGGGAACAGGCCATGCTTGGCTCTAATGAGGTCCCTGCCTTCAGCTCTTTTGGGTGTAAACTTGGAAGTGGAGTTGTTGAGTTGTACAATAATTGTGTCTTTTCATAGGTTGTTTGGTTTTTTTTTGAAGACTCTCTTAAAGCAGTTCTAGGTTCACAACAGAATTGAATGGATAGTAATTTCGCATTTGTGTTGAGGAACCTCTAAGGTTTTCCACAGGAAGTGGCCATGCCGTTTCCACGCCCCGTTTGCAGTGTTTGGTGACAGGTCTGTGCCTGCCTCATCAGTTCTCAGTGTTTTCCATCATTTTGCTCATGATGGGCTGGGTGTGAGGTGGCATCTCACGGGGGATGTGTATTTCCAATGGTTCGTGACAGCAGGCATCTCTGGCCCTTGGTGCAGCCTCTCTAGAAAAATGTCTATTTTGGTCCTTTGCTTTTTTTTAATTGGGTGGTTAGGAGCTTTGTTTTTAAAAATAATTTTTAAGTCCCACAAATAATGCCACTAAGAGCCAGCATTTAAGAGCTTCCAGGTGTAAGACAGGAGGTGCCAGCGTGGGTCTGGATCCAGGCTCCAGAAGATTGAGCTAATGTGTGAGCCAGGACTAGTGTGCGGGAGAATGGCAGGCTATAGCGGATCTTAGGTGGATGGATGGGCCCCAGAACCGATTATTTGCAGACTTTTCCCAGGAAACCTGGCAATTGACCATAGTGCCCAGCATGAGGGACGGCACAAGTCTGGAGACAGGAGGACAGGGGTGCTGGGGGCTTGCATCCTGTGCCTGCACAGCTGGCTTATGCCCTGTTCTTGTCTACACTGGCCGGGCACCTTCCTGTGCCTGTCGTCTTGTGAGAGGACTGTCAGGGTGGCAAGTGGTTCTCATTATTCCATGTGGCCCAGGCCCATCTTCCCATCTCACTCCAGGGGACCTGGGCACCTCCATGACCTGGCCTAACCTGGCCATGCTGGTAGCTCTCAGTCTCTCCAGATCGCCTTCACTCCCAGGTCTCCTCCTGTTACACCTCAGTGTCCTCTAGCCATAGCCTGCAACCATTTTCCTACAGTCACAGGCTGCTCCTGGAGATCCCACTGTCCCCAAGAAACTCCAGCAATGCTGTGTGTGGCAGCAGTCAGCTCTCCGTGGTGGGGATGGCCTCACGTACCAGCCCAGGGACACCTATGCTTCATCTTGTCTGAGCCTCTGCCATGGACTCCCTCCCTTCCTTGTCCTAACAGAGGGTCTCAGGATGAGCCATCCACCCCTAGCTGGGCTGACTTCCCCTCATGGTGGAAATAGCCATCACTGGCCCTGCTGTTGAGGGGTCTGAGGAGCCACAGGGTTGGTGTTTGGTGTGCATATCTGTCTCAGGGTCTCTATCCACAAAGCCCCTGCTGACAGAAGGTGGCATTGCTTTGATCTGAGGGACAGTGGCCAGGGAAGACAGGGCCTCTGTCTCTTTGGTCTTGTTGTGGTCTCAATGGAGATCTCTGCCCCTGGGCCCAAGATTGTCTCTCCTCATATCTGTGGAGCAGAGCATAGGCCACACTCCATCCTGAGGCACCATGTCCCTGGCCCAGATCTTAAAGGGTAAATAAGACTTAGGCCCATCCCTGCCAAGGTAGAGGGCAGATGGGTTGCCCCTAAGCTCCGGACTGCTGATGCTGCACTGGCATCCTTTAGCCAGAGCTAGGCAAAGGTGTGTCTGCTTTACATCTGGGAATATTGGCCCTGAATTTGCATGGCTACCATGTGGTTTGGGGGTCAGCTCTTCTGCAGGCCCCGTCCTTGCTGAGTGCCAGCACCCTAGGGTCCCAGCATGGCCTTGGCCCTGAATGCCATCCCACTCAGCCCTGCCCTGTCTGTGAGACTGATCAAGCTGGAGATGGTTTTATCTCTGAACAAACAGTGGATCCTGCTATGTGTGATCTGGGATATGACTTTTCCTCAGCTCCATCCTTGCTGGCTAGCAGCTCCACACTGATTAACTTGGCCCTACCTAGGCTGGAGCAGTGATCAAGCCCTTCCCAGGTGGGCCTCACACTATATCCTCAAGCCAGATAGGACTGGGGGACTCCTGTCATTTTAAATTATTCCTCCCCCCTCACCCCTCCAGAGTCATGCACCTCTGTCTCTGCAGCTGCCCTCCAAATAGGTTCTCCCCAAGTGTTAGACAAGGGTCATCTGAGGGGACCTTTAGCCACCAAAAGCCATCCCTGACAACTATGTACATCAAGGTGTTTTCTAAGAACTTAGCAGTTCAAATCTGCTTAAAAATGTGACTAGAAAAGGCAAGTGACAAACACAAGTATTTTAAAAGAAGACAAAAAAAAAAAAAAATAAGACAGGCCTGTGAAATACTGATCCACCAGTCATATGTGGGCCCTAGGAGCAGGGACAGAAGCCTGCTGCCTTTGGGGTGCTACTGTTCACCATCAGGGCCACCAGTGGTCAGGTGAGCCATCCCACCCCAACCCCACTAGAAGTCATGGGCACCTGTAGCTCAGCATCAAGGATTGAGAGCCTGGGCTTCATGTTGGCCAAAGACACATGTGGTTCCATGGCTCAGCATTCCTGCCAGGCCAGGATCTCAGGAAACAAAGATGAACCAAAGTCCCTATTACTGGACAGCTCCAGATTTTCTTGCTTGTTCCTCCCTGCCTTCTTCCCTCCTCCTTTTTCTCCCCTCTCTTCCTCCTGTGGTTCTTGCTACAAATGCGTACTGAATGTCAACTAGAGTGGGCAGTGTCCTAGGCTTGAGAATGGAATGGATGAGACCTACATGACCTCTCACTGGTGAGTTCAGCCATCATGGCCAAAGCCCTTATCCTGAGGAGGCCACAGAGCCTGTGAGTGCTGGGACCCCTCACTGTCCTCGTGTAACCAACACACACATTCCACCCCCAAAGGATTCTATGTCATACACCAAACATCTTTGCAAGAGGAAAGGACTACACTCTCCCAGTTTTTTCCCATTATCCACTAAGCTTGCTCCAAACACAAGCTGGATGGTAAATGCTATTTTGTCCTAATTAATAGCATTTGGGAGCCAGCAATGGCAGGATCCAGTCACCCTCTCATTGTGGACTCCCTGGCAGGGAACTGGTGAGGGTCAGGGCCAGGCAGTGCCACCCATTGGAGCAGAAGTCCCCTCCAGGCTCCCAAGGGAGGACAGGCAGGAAGCCATCTGGAAGCAGGCCTGAGAAGCAAAATGTTTTGTGGCTTCATGGCTTTGTGGCTTTGCATAGTCCTTTTCCACATGTGGGGGTCGGTTTAGCTTCCTAACCCCAGCCTTCCCTGAGGGCCTTTTGCATGCCAAGGCTGGCCAGGAGCTAGGCATGTGGGTCCCAGGCAGTTGCATGTCCTGAGTGTCACAGTGGGCTATGCATTTGGGCATTAAATCCTTACCATTGCCCATGAAGATGGCTGCCACTGCTGTCCACACGCTACAGCTGAGGAAACTGAGGCCAGAGTTCCCAAATCTATGCCCAGGGAATGGGATTCAGCCCTTAGGGCTGTCACCCTACACCACCTACCCTTCTAGACACTGCTGCCTTCTGGCTTGGGGTTTAAGGGGGTGTGGGGCAGCAGCAGCCCCATGGGGTCCTGGTAAAGGTAAAGTGGCCAGGGGGCCACTTGCACAGCACATGAAGCCTGAGGATCAGCCCCAAGCTGTCCTGAAAAAGCGGGCTGGAAGGGCTTCTCCCTAGGGCCTCCTTAGATTCCTGTGATGGGGCAAAGACTGAACCTAGACTGCCTAGAGGGTATGGCCACCCTATGGCAGGCCAGCCACTGCTTTCCCCTCCAGATTGGCTCATGTAATAGGTCCCTGGGGCCCAGCTGGAGGTGAAGCATTGGCTACTTGTCTCCAGGGTGTTGGGCCCTCAGGGTGCCAGTCAGGGCTGAGACCCCAGGCAGTACCTTGATCTCCCACTGTTGTCTCCAGGCCTTGGGCGACTGCTCCTCCAGCCTTTTTTACAAAGCACTGGCAATCGGCTTGACAGGCTTCAGGGCTATTGCTAATTGAATTCCACCTCACTGCTGGGGACTGAGTCTGGCTGCAGGAACCGTCTGCCTCGCTGCTTATTTCATTGAGAGAGCTAATGGCCCGCTTTCCTTTTGAACTTGGTTTTTATACCATTCTTCTTCATTTGTCCATCACCCACCATCTACCCACCTTTCTGTCCATTTTTCTGTCCATCTGTTGCCTGTGGCCATCTTGTTTGCTCCCCTCAACCCTCTGGAGTCCCCTGACTTCAGAGCATTCAGAGGATGGTCTGTGCTTGAGGCCTGGCCTCTGTGGAAAGACCCCAGGGGAGTTCTTTCAAGGCTGGTGTGGCATCTGTCTCTGGCCCCCTTGGCCCTGCTGCCCAGCTCCCCCTCCTCCTACAGCTCTTGCACCCAGGCCTCAGGGAAAGCCAAAAGTGGTGGATGCTATGTCCCCCATGATGGGCAGTGCTGTGAGGTGAAAGGGGACAGTCCCACAAGGACAGACGCTCTCTAACCCCACACTTTGGGCATGTACTGTAGGGCCTCAGGGGCTTAAGTTGATTCTGGCTGGAGACCACAGGCCTGAAGACATCATGTATGCAGGTGCGGGCACTGGCACAGAGCTGCCTTCAGCCCTGCTATGGGGTTCCATGCCCAGTCGGGCTCTGTCTGAAGAGCAGCAGCCCCATCGGATGTCCATGATTGGGGACCCTGGGTTCCAGGTAGCCTTACATATAGGCTTCTACAGAGGGAGACCAGCATGTTGCTCTGGGGGGTCCCTTTGCAGAGGTTCCCAGCATAGGATCCTACCCACCTATGGCCACCCAGATAACTGAGGAGAACTCACCTGCCTTCTTCCACAGGAGATTGTCCTGGTGGTGTTCTTTGGGACAGAGTACGTGGTCCGCCTCTGGTCTGCAGGCTGCCGCAGCAAGTATGTAGGCATCTGGGGCCGACTGCGTTTTGCCCGGAAGCCCATTTCCATCATTGGTGAGTCTTATGTACCCCACAGAATACTTTGCCAGTTTCTAGACCAGGAAGGACCCCCAAATCATGACCACCACCATCACGGTCACCCCAGGGATCAAAAGCCTACTCCCACTCTACCTACCCACAGTAGGCCAGGATTCCACAGCCAGCAAGGGGTGACCACCAGTGCCTGCAGCCTGGGCCACCTCCACACTGCAATCCTGCTAATGGGATTCGGCCCTTCTCAGATTCTGAGTTCAGAGGGTCTTCCTTACTCTGCACGGCTTGACCATGTGTCAGTCGCCCTTGGTGGCTGGGGTTCAGGCCTGAGATTCAACACCCAGTTCCAGCTAGGGTGAGGCAGCTACGTGTGTGCCACAGTGGAGACCTAGGCCTCTCCATCAGGTGCTGCCTGACTCCCCACCTGGATTCCTCTTAGGTACCCTCTTGTGGGGCCCTGTCTCTCTAACATGGCAAGCCTCTACCCCAGGGGTGGGTGGAGGGTGTGCTGTCCCTATGGCCCGGCTGCTGGAGGTCATAACTCACTGTTCCTCCCCTGCAGACCTCATTGTGGTTGTGGCCTCCATGGTTGTCCTCTGTGTGGGCTCAAAAGGGCAAGTGTTTGCCACATCAGCCATCAGGTATGTCGGAGTGCCAAGCTCCCTGCTGGCCAACCCTCTTTAGGGCTGGGAGGGCTGGCCTGTCACCAAGCCCCATGGTCCCAAGTAATGGGTGGTTTCACCCTCTATCTACCTGTTCTGCTGTGCTCGCCCCTCCCCCACTCCATCAAAGGTAGTACACTGGGGCAGCTGTGTTCAGGGCCTTGAAGTCTTAGGTGTGGCCCTGGGTTCGAGTTTCACCACAGCCCTTCCTTGCTTCTGAGACATGAGTGGCAACTTATTTGGACACATGATTTTCTTATCAGTAAACTGGGGCAACCCCAGACTTCCTCAGTAGGCAGTGTGGGGACCAAAGGAATGTGGAGATGGGCAGCTGCCCTGAGCCTGATCCGGTGGCCAGCGAGCATGATCAGAGCTTGCTTGGAAAGGCTGCCTGGGGTGGGAGGACTCAGAGCACCTGACCAAGGGAGAGTCTGGGAGGACAGGCATGGAGGCGAGTCATCCCAGTCATGGAGGACACGCGTGTGTCTCCCTTACCCAGGGTGGAAGCCTGGTCGGGGCAGGGTCGCTATCCCATTCACTGTCTCCTTGGGCCCAGTGGCAAAGGCCTGAGACTGGCTTGGTCCTCCCATTCTTGCTCTGTCTCCTTCCCAGGGGGATCCGCTTCCTCCAGATCTTGCGGATGCTACATGTGGATCGCCAGGGAGGCACCTGGAGGCTCCTGGGCTCTGTGGTCTTCATCCACCGCCAGGTGCGTGGCCCAGGTGGGGGTGTAGGGGGGATGGTGAGGCACATAGCCAGCCTTACCTGAATATGAGGTGCAGAGTCTTGTACCCTGCACCCCAGCTGAGAGGCCAAGGGTCAGACAAGTGCCAGAGCACATGGATATATGGATGGGACCCAGAATCCTAGATGAACTCCAAGGCCTGAGCCCTGGCGGGGCGCTCAGCCCTATGGTGCCAGCCTCTTCACCTGCCAATCTGATGCCACCTTTCTTCAACCTGGGACAAAGGACTTCTGGGTAAATGAAAGGACAAAAATGTAAGCTGGAACAAAAGTCTGTGAGGCTCAGAAATCTAAAGCCAGGAGATCAAAGAGAACCCAGCACATCCTGAAGGCTGAGAAACTCAGGCTCAGCTGCTGCTGCCCAGGTCAGAATATATGAGGTCCTCTCATTGCCCCGAGATTCTGCGGGGTACCAACCAACTCTTTGTTCTATCCCACTGTAGAAGACTGAGCCATTGGTCAGCAGAGGCTCTGCAGGGCCAGGTTGTCAGTCTTGGATGACAGCTAGAGCCAGCCTCACTCTGAGTGGGGAGAGCCAGCCTCACTCTGAGTGGGGAGAGCCCCACACCCACCCTTTAGCAAAGTTGTGAAAAATAGCTGTTGGGAGCCCTGATCTGTGCATACAAAACATGCCTGAGTAGCTGTAGAACGATCTGGTAAATACTAGAACTCAATGCCTAGGCCGTCCCCTTGCTGCCTCCGATGTTGGCCCCATGGGTTTCCTCCCTATCTGTGGGGGTGCTGTGAGCTTTGGGCTGATGTCCTTTTGTCTGCTGGTTAGGAGCTGATCACCACATTGTACATCGGCTTCCTGGGACTCATCTTCTCCTCCTACTTCGTGTACCTGGCTGAGAAGGATGCTGTGAATGAATCAGGCCGTGTGGAGTTTGGAAGCTACGCAGATGCACTGTGGTGGGGGGTGGTAAGTTTGGGCCTCTGGGGCCGGAGATCCTGGGCTGGGGCCACACGGCCCCTAGGAGAAGCAGAGCTCGTGTTGGGCTCTGGTTTCTCAAGATTTGGTTCCTCCTGGGCAGGGGCTTTTCATACAAAGGTTAAAGCCTTTTGTCCACAGATGAGTACTTGAAGCCAATAGCACCCTATGCTCCTTTCATGCTGAGGGCTCCGGGGTCCCTGTGGAAGTTTTAGCACTTTTGCCTTTGAACTTGTGTTTTGGAAGGGAGGTCTGGTAGGACCAAGAGGGTGAGCAGGACATGCTATCTTAGCCACCCTACTGCCCTTTACCTGAGCAGATCCTAGAAACAGGAGTTGGGTAGCTGGGGTCAGGCATGTGCCTTGGAGTCTCTGAGGGTCTGTGCTGGCCCCATGAGTGTTTCTGTGCCTGAGGAGTGAGATGTGAAGCTGCCTTGACAGGTGGAGAGACCTGGGGAGAGATGCAGAGATCCATGCTTCCCAGACATGGCCCCGGCTTCTCTTGCTGCCTCAAGCTGTGGCCCTGTGGGTGCAAGCAGGGCCCTGAGGCCATTCTGGCTGTGAGGATGGGCTCCAACCCCTGGACAGCTGGGAGCCTGGGCTTGAGTAGCTCAAGGCCCCAAGGTGCCAGGCTGTAGGGGGAAGGATGTAGCTGCTGACCTGCATGTGAACTCCACAGGTCCCATAGCAAGGCTATGCTGCATTGAGAGTGTGAGTGGGTTTCTGCTGCAGGCTGGAGCTGAGACTATGTGGGGTCATTGTACAAGGGAGGGAGGGGTGCCACTGAGGACTTGTCTGCTGAGCCCCAGCTCCAGAGTCCTGGTGCACAGGTGTGTGGTCTGGGCACAGGCTCTTACGGCATCAGAAGGTGCTAACCAAGGTGTTTTGAGGAAGGTCCAGCCTGTCAGTGTCCTTCCGGAAATGGGTGACAGCCCCATAGCCTCAAGTCTCCTATGGAGACCTGGCCTTCATCTGGACACTGAGCTTCAGGGCAGATTCTAAAAATGAGGGCACCCAACAGATGGCATTCTTGATTCCATCCCTCTCCATCCCATCTCCCCTCAGTTGCAGGAGCAGTGGGCTATGTAGAGACCACCAAGGCCCAGGGGGGTGCTATCACCGCTGCAGAGCTGCCAGGACTAGAAGGCCATGGGAGGGAGGTGAGGGGCCTAGAACAGACCCCAACTGGCCTCTTGTCTATTCCCAGGCAATTGCACATGGTGTCTTCTGTTTTCTGGGCTCCTACAGCCTGAAAGAAGGAAGGGCGGTGGCAGCCATGGGCATGGGCTGGGGCTGGGGAGAGGAGAAGCTGCAGCCTTGGAGTAGGGCAGTAGGTGCCCTGGCCCTGGGGGCAGTGCAAGCTCCAGGGACACAGAGTGGGGTGGGTGGTGGTGGAGGTGACACTGCATCAGGCTTGGCCTGTGTGCCCCTCTGTGCTCCATCCGGAAAGGAAGGCCTTGCTCAGAGCCCTCACCCTCCACCAACAGAGAGGTCACAGAACTTGAGGGGTACAAAGTGGGATGGACACATGATCCTGCTACTGCTGTGTCCCCACAAGGCCAAGCATGCCATAGGTACTTCTGATGCTGGCCAAGTCAGTATGTTTTCTAGAAGCTTCCACTGTGCCAGGCTGCTCAGGGAAGGCACAGACATGCTGACACAGCTCCCATGTTGGGCAGCCCCAGACTCGGTCTCTCCCTGCCCTCCTGGGGGCCTGTGTCCCCGAAGGCCCTGGTGGGGCAGGCCTGTGCAGGTCTGGGCGGGAGGGTTCAGCCTCCAGCAGGCAGGGAGCTTGCCTGCAGTGCAGGGGGAGAGACCTCCTGGGAAATTGGTAGGGCCTTTGTGGGGGACAAGAGAACTGGGGAGGGGGCAGTCAGTACGGGGCCGAGAGGCAGCAGGAAGCGAGTAGGTGACAGCCTGCAGCACGGCTGATAAGCAGTGCCCAGCCCTGGCGCTGCCCTGCCTGTCTTCCCGGCTGCCTGCTGGGGCTGCTCCCTGGCCTCAGCCCGCGGCAGAGCGGCGCTCTACTCCCACACCTGTGCAAACATCCGCCCGCCGGCCGGGAACACGGCCCCTTTGTGCCCGGCTTGGCACCGGTGCCCCGGCCGCGCTGTCAGCTGCAGCCTGTGCCTCGGCCACTGAGCACCCTGGCCTGGTCATTGTTCCCATCGGGCCCTGCGCCCTTGCCTGCCCAGGGCCCCCCGCCACTTGGCCTAGGGGGCAAACAGCTCCCATTCATCACGGCGGCTGCCCCTGCAGCTGTCCGGTGGGAGCGGCCCCCGAAGCTTGAGTTATGGGCTGTGTTCCTGGCACTTCTCGGACAAACAGAACTTGAGAAATGCAGGCCGGGGCAGCCCCATTTGGGGGCTTTTCAGCCTGTGTGCCAACCCACAGCTGAGCCCCGGACAGTTGGCCCCTCTCAATCTATTGTTCTGGCTTCATTCACCCTCCCCACGGCCCCCTCCCAGGCTTGCCCCCCAGGATCCCCATCTGGACAGACAGAGGATGGAGTGAGTTGGGAGATCTTGATGTTGGGAGTTGCCATAGGGCACTCCGCAGGTGGGGCACCTCCTGGGGACCTGGGCTTTCTGTTCTCACTACAGTTGTGCCAGGCCTTGCCTGGCCTCTGGAATCCTCTCCCACAGCTGAGGAGTGGTTGTCTGGTTGGGGGTTGAATGCATACCTAAGACAGACACAGGGCTCAGAGGCCACTGGTAGCCGCTGGGTCTGTTGGGTGAATGAATGAACTAGTTGATTTGCCTGTAGAAAATCCTGTCCCATGGTTCTGGGATGATGGGTGGATTTTTTTTTTCCCTGTGGCTGCCACACAAAGTCACACAATATTGTGTTTTCAATAGTAGACATTTATGACAGTTCTAGGGGCCAGAAGCGTGAAATGGAGGTAGAGATAGGGCCATGCTCCCTCTGAGAGCTCCCAGAGGTTCTTTCCTGTCTTTTAAAGCTTCAGGTGGCCCAGGTGGCTGTTGGCCCATCCTGCCAAGCTCCTTGTCTGTGTTCCTTTCCGTCGCTTCTGAGGATGGCGTCGCTGGGTTTAGCGCCTTGTCTGACCTTGTCTCCAGATCTTCAGTCACGCCTTTGAAGACCTCTTTTGGAATAAGATCCTTTCTGAGGGACAGGATGGATATGACGTGGCCAGGACAATGGGCATCCCAGTGGACTTCAGCAGATGCGCTCTCTACTCACTGGGCCTCAGTTTCCACAGTGGCCTGGTAAAGTTCTGGCTCCGTAGCTGAATGTCCCCTCCAGTCCTCTCCCTGGGGCAGGGGTGCCCACTTGGATGTGAGGGCCCCTGGATACCTGGAGTGTGGAGCCCGAGCATGGCTGTGAGGCATTTGGGGAGCATTTCAAGACTTTTTTCTTCGCCCTTGGAACAAAACGCATTTGTTTGTGTTAAAAGTTTGAGTGGAGGGAAAGCATTTTTTGCAAACACGGGCTCCTCTGTTTAGTGCCTGGGGGTCTCTAAAACCTGGCGGCTGCAGGGCTCTGTTTACCTCTGTGCATCTAAATTTAGAATTTAGAGTGGAAAGGCCGGAACCCCGCCCCTGTATTTCAGCCCCTTTTAAAACAGAGTCTGACGGCCCTTCGTTCCTCACCTGGAGGCTCTGGAAAGTTCCCACCTCCCAGACTGTGCTGCATCCTGGCAAAGCAAGGCCACGGAGCCCAGGGACTTGTGTGGGGGCTGGGGAAGCTAAGCACCATTTAGTGGGAGGGCTTAGTATCAGGACTTCCTCGGATATTGGAGAAGCTAAATCCAGGGTGGCAGCACTCAGCCCCACCCAGACCAGGGCTTTTCTTCTGCCCAGAGCTCCTTGTGAAGCCTAAGAGTACAGTGAAAGTCCAGAGTCCAAAGGACCCTGGCCAGAGGGCTTTCATGAGGAGAGGTCTTTGCAGCTGGGTTTTGTAGGATGAGTAGGAGTCTACAAGGTATATCCATCTTCCTGTTCTTACTTCCCATTAGACATCTCCTGGGGCATTGATTACACAGACTTGACCAGGCCCTGTGAGGGTGATACCCAGGAGTAATTTCCTCTTGGGGGTTGGGGGTCAGCTCAGGTTAGTGGGAATTAGCCTATGGGAATCTCAGGCCCCAGACCTTTCCAGAGATAGTGTCAGGAAACAGTGGGACAGGAGGAGGTGGGGTAGAACTAGACCTGGAGCTGTATTCACATCCCCTCTTTACCATGTGCCTGCTGTGTGGGACTGAACACCTTGTCGAACCTCTCTGTGAAATGAGAACATGACATGGACTAGCTTCCATAGCTTGCCAGAGAATTCAGTCAGCGACGACACAGAAAGCCGAGGACCCCAGGTGCAGCTGCAGGTGGGCTTCAGGGCTGGTCCCCCTCTTCCCTTGGAGGCGAGCTTTCCCAGGCTGCCTCAGAAAGGGAGGAATAAAATTCCCACCAGTGCGGGTTCTCAAAACAGAATGGGGTGCAGCTAGAAACTTCCTGTGGCCCTGACAGGGGCATGAAGCTGCAGAGCAGCGGGCGGGTGGGCGGAGGATACGCCCCTGCCCGCCAGCCCTAGGGACCAGGGCTTGTTCCCATGGCCGTCTGCCTTACGGGTCCTGTCATTAGATGGCATGTCTGTGGGCCGAGCACTAGCAGCCCATGTGCCTTCCCTGCCTCCTCGGTCCATCCGCCTGGGAGACGTGCAGATCTGCCTTCCCCATGGCCAGCTGTGAGGATAAGTTCCAGGCACCAGGGCTATAAAACAGCCCATTCCTAAGCTGCTTGCGTCTGTGAGTCTAGGAACAGCAAACAGCTCTGCCGGATGGGCCGTTTCCTGGGGAGGATGGAGGACCCCATTCACTAGACAAGGAGGGGTGAGGGGCCTGGGAAGAAGAGTGGGTGCTGGGCAGTTGCTAGGTTGCCTACTCCTGCCTGGGCTCTTGGCTTCTATGACCGCGGGCTTAGCCCAGGAGCTGAGAGATGGGTAGGAGACAGGGTCTTGGGCCTCCACACCTGCCTGGCACACATGACCCCTCCCGCCAGGGCGCTTTGCGCTGACTGATCCCTCCTTTCCCCTTCATCAGAGATTTTACTTCAGCATTAATTTAAACTTTAAAAGTCAAAAATATTTCACTACACCTTCACTGAATCATTTAAAATCTTTTAAAATAATTAAAGGTTTTTATTAACGTTATAAAAAAAAGTTTACCAATACATGAACCCTGAGTTAATACTTCAGGGTTTGAGTTCACTGGTAACCCCTGCACTCAGTTCTCACAGTGCCAGCACCCACCTGCAGATGCTGATGCCTGCCTTGCACCCATTCCAGGGTGGCCCACTAGCAGACATTTCATTCTCTGGACACCTTCATGCCTTTTTTGGGGTGTAGGAGTAGTACTGATTGAATTCAGAGCTATTACACTGAGCTATAGCCCTGGACCTTTTGGTAATTTTAATTTTGACATAGGTTCTTGCTAAGTCACTAAGTTGCCCAAGCTGGGCTTGAGCTTTTGATTTTCCTTTCTCAGCTTCCCAGGGATCTGGGATACATGCATGCACCACCAGGTTGCCTCCCTTTCATATCTTCCTGTGGGATATTGTTTCAGTGGGTTATATCTATCAATAGTTAATAAAGCTGAGCAACTTTTAAATACTTCCATATTTGTTAAAATAATAATAGAACCATTTTATGTGTATATACGTAAAATAATTTTATGCTAAGCCACTATATTTTCTAAAACAACAACAACAAAATAATGCTGAAAGAACAACATGCATTTATGCGCGAATCTCCGAGAATCTGGCTGGAGACACTGGGTCTTCCCACCAGCACTTCTGTCATCACAGCTGCAGCCCACACTGTGTGGGACAGAGCGGAGCCGGCCTGAGGCTGGTCCTGACCTTATGGGCTCCCTGAGGGCTCGAGGCACCTAGAGGCCCCCAGGCCCACTTTGCCGTCACTGCACTTGCCTGGTGACTGCAGGGATTTGACTCATCTGGGCACAGCTCTCCTACCCCACCCTCTCTGGGGTGCTCACCGCCACCACTGCACCCCCACTGCACCATGACCTCTCTCTCCCAGCCTTGTCTTCCACAGCCTGATGCAGGAGGGGCTGCCCAGCCAAGTGGGGCTTTGTGCTGCTCTGAGTGGCCTCTCCAGCTCATGCGTTATGAAGCCGTCAGGGCAGGAAGTGCTGTGGTGAGCCCACCACCAGGAGTACAGGGGCTGAGCACAGCCTCAGGCAGGCAGCGGAGGCTACCCAGCTCCGCAGCAGGGTTTTATGGAATGAATAGGAGGTTGCTGCATAAACTAATGGAAACTGCATGTTCACACTAACAGGCTGAGTGACCTTCTGAGATGTTTGAGTTAGATAAAAATGCCGGAGTCTACTCTCCTCAACTGTCTGGGCTGCAGGGGCCATCCAGGCTCAAGGCTGGGTGAGCCAGGGTCCCTGTTGGCTCAGGCCTTTCCAGGCTGGTTTCTGGGCTTCCTTTTGTGTGCTTTCCATGATTTGCCAATGGCCTAGGAAATATCTGTGGTAGATGAGCAAATGCACTGGGCCCCTGCCCTGCCAAGCCCTCTGGGCTGCAGCATCGCCAGGTGGGCCAGCTCCCAGAACAGGCAGTGCTGTGTCTCACTGCCCTGCCTAGCTCTGTTGTAGCTGGTGTGCCACACGTGGCCCTGCATGAGCCTGGGCCTTAGTGAAGGCAGCTGCGGCCCAGTCCGCCCATGTGGGGTGCAGACCCCTTATTGCCCCCACCATCAGCCCTGCCCTTGAGGTGGCCTAGCTCCAGCCTGCAAGTATATCTGTTCAGAGATGAGGGTGGTTTGCATGGTAGTACCAGGTATCCAGGCCCAAGTGTGCCCTAACATGGCAGGTCACACATAAGCACAGCCCTTCTCCGTGCAACCTTGCCTTGTGTGCATGTGTTGCCATGTTGCCATACAGGTCCTTGTGTGTTCCAGCATGTATGGGGGGGTGTCCCTGGGAGTGTGCAGAACTTGTGAGTGTGTGCCCAAGCACATGAAGCCGGGTGGTCCATTTAAAGGGTTGGCAGTAAGCAGTTCCTGTGTGCTCTGCTAGTGGGCAGGACAGGTGTGTTTTAAGGATGGTGACACTGCAGGGATGGCACAGCATGGGCAGCTGCGGAAGTACGTGGTGTGTCACCAGTGGAGTGGGGCTCAGCCGGCATCAGTCCCCTCATGTTGCCTGGATGAAACTGAAATTTTCTGGTGCCTGTGGGGATAACTAAGTTCCCTGTGAACATCATTACTTCTACTCCCTGGGCTCTTCCAGTCCTCCTGCTCAGGCAGCTTTGAGCAGCTATGTGAGCCGTGGACACCTGTCTCTGTTCACGCATCTATGTGTGTGTCCCTGCCCGGTTCTGGCCCTGCTGCCTCTGCTTAGTGGCAGGTAGAGAGCGCCAGGGCCTCGCTGGGGCTGGTGTGACCAGCAATCACTGCTGCAGTCATTCTCCCTCTCTAGGCCACAGTTGGGGCCTGTTAAGTGGGCTCCTGCCATCCATGCTGGCCCAGTAGGGTGGGGCTCAAATGGAGGCCTCTGTACAATTCTCTGCCAGAAAGACCTACCTGAGGCTGGTGTCACAGTTGTCACTGGGCCCTGGAGCATATACGCTGGGCTGCCCGGAGTGGGCTATGCAGAGCAAGACTGCAGACCACAGGCAACAGGTTCCAGCTGCAGCAGCAGGAACACCATGCAGACTGTCTTGCTGCCTGGGCAAGAGTGTGTCCATGGCATAAGTCAGCCTTGGAGCCAAGTATCGGAGCCAGGCTCGGGGCCAGTCCTCAAGGTCCAGCCACAGCCGCACAGGCAGACTCTGGGTGCGGCCTGAAAGCTGGGCACGGCCAGGGTGGGCTCCTGAGTCCCTATAGGGCTGCACGTTCCGCCTCACCAGAGGCCCAGGAGCAAACCTCAGATGCCAGTGGGGGGCAACCTGGGAGGGGGAGCAGCCCCTTGCTCCTATTGTCCTGCCACACGCCCTGGACAGACAGCTCCCCCACCAAGAAGAAGGAAGGCAAGAGCCTTGTCTTGTTCTCTCAGAAGAGAGAAAAAATGAAACATCTGGAGCCCTGGGGTGGTGGCAGGAAGTGGCACGTCATCCCATCCCAGCTCTTTGTGGCCAGCCAGCCTCGGTGGGAGCTCCCGGTCTCCTGGGGGTCGTGAGTAGCGATGCTGGTGGCCGGGGACAGGGCAGGCAGTGGGGCAGACAGGCCTGTCCTCCTGTGGGTGGGCTTTGTGGCCTACATGTCCCAACCCACCAAGCTCTTTCTGCACGACCCTGGTGGGCTGTGCCGAGTGTGGGGGTCAGGGTCTGGAGACTTAAGCCTTCCTATGTGCTCTTCTGATCCTTCAACTGAACTGCACAGCACCTGTAGGAGAGCAGCTGTCCTGGTGGTTGGGACTCTTGGTGGCCATCTTCAGGGTGGGAATAGGGGCCAGGCAACTGCCCTCTTACAGTTCTAGGCTGGCCCGCTGCTGACCGCTCTCCCTCCCTCACAGGTCACAGTCACCACCATTGGCTACGGCGACAAGGTTCCCCAGACCTGGGTTGGGAAGACCATTGCCTCCTGCTTCTCTGTCTTTGCCATCTCCTTCTTCGCACTCCCAGCGGTAGGTGCCCAGGGTGGGGGTGCGGTCATATCCCCTGCTTCCCAGCAGACTGGGGCCCTGGGCAGCAGGTCCTTCCCTGCGAACAGATTCCCAGAGGTGGCTCGCTGAGATCCAAGATGGATGTGCCTTCAGAAAGGCCCTGTCCTCCAGACCCCACCTGTCACTGGGCCTGGGACACTCCTCTCCTGCTCCCAGTCCCTGGGGTCCCTTGTAACAGGGTGGGAAGCAGCCTGGCATGGCTCTACACAGGTGCAGGCAGTGGGGGTGCCCAGTGTGGCCACCATGTTACTGCAGAGCAGAACTGTGCCTGGTAGAGGAGTGGGCATCCTGCACCATAGCCAAGAGTGTCTGCTTCCTGCCCCTTCCAGAAGTCACAGACTGAGGGCAGGAGCACATAGTCCTCTGTGTGAATGCAAGTGTGCTAGTGCATGTGTCAGCTGTATGTGCAATGTGTGTGCAAGTGGTACATGCTATTGTGTATGTATACTGTATACATGTCCTACGTGTGTGTACACCAAGTATATATGCATGTGCAGGTGTCTGTATATGCATTACATTTGTGTAATGCATATATAATGTGGCATGTATATATGTAATGTGGCATGTGTATATGTTGTGTGTATACATGTGCATGAATGTGTCATGCATGTGTATGTATTTGCACATGTATATTTATATTGGGTGTTTATGTGTGTCATGAGTTATTTATGTGTACACACATTCATCACACATGTATACAGGGTATGTCTAGATAATATGCATATCTATGCACATGCCTGTATAGACATGTTACATGTGTTGATGTTTATCTTATGTGTGTGTGTATCATATGGCATAAGTTTGGTACTAGTATGTATGTCATGCCTGTGGGGGGAGGCTCAGGCCCTTCCCTAGATACAGAGTACCCTGGCCACTGCACCAGCCATCTACATGGTGACAGCAGCCGCCACCTCAGCTGGGTCTGCTTCTGATTCCCAGCCCAAGCTCAGTGTGTCATCCCAGCCCTGACACTTGCATATGGGCTCATCCACTTTGCTCTCCAACATGGTCCCTGGAATAGACTTACCATAGGCAAGGGGCATAGGCCCCTTGCCATAGGCCCCAGGTGTGAGCTTTGCCCTCCAAACAGGTAGGCTGACCAGCACCTCCTACCCCAGGCAAGTTTGGCCTCTTAGAACTAAAGTCTGAACCTGCCACATCCCCCACATCCTTGTCCTGTGCCTGGGCCCTGGCCAGTAGCCGCCTGCGTGGTGGTGAGCCTCATTTCTGTCCCTCCCAGGGGATCCTTGGCTCTGGGTTTGCCCTGAAAGTCCAGCAGAAGCAGAGGCAGAAGCACTTCAACCGGCAGATCCCCGCCGCCGCATCACTCATCCAGGTGTGCCCTGCATGCTCAGCTTTGGCCACCTCCCTTCATCATCACCACTGTCACATCCAGCGCGTGTGTCCATCCAGGAGTTGGGACCATCCTTGGCCTCTGTACTGACCCAGCGTGTGGGATGCAAGGTCTTTGTACTGTGTGGCCCTCCCATGGCACAGGCACCCCGCTTGGGGAAGTATCTGCTTTTAGGGCAGCAGATGGGTATGGAAGCACAGGGCCTGTCTCCTTCCATGGCAACTCCTGTCAAAACTGCCTGTGCACTGGGGATAAGGGGTGACAGTGGCCACTCCAGGACCTGGTGTGGCCCTGTCACCTCCTGGCAGCCTGGGGCTCCAGCTTCTTGCTCCCTGTTGTCTCTCCTTCCACCCCTCCCCAGCTCAGCAAAGGGTGGAGTCTTGGAGGGAGGCGGTAAGGAGGCCCAGGTGACTGTCCCCAGGGGCAGGGCCTAGCTTGGGCAGTGGCCCCTGTTCCCCAGTGAGAGGCCACCCATGAGTCATAGGCTGGGAGTCAGGGAAGGCAGAACCTGAGGTGGATGCCAGGGAAGAGAAGCCTTGGAGGTGGCTGGAGACACACAGGGTGCTGCTGTCACCCAGGCCCACTGGAATACACCAGAGAGCTGGGATGCCATTTTAATGTCAGTGAAAACTTGGGCTCAGGAGCCATTCAAAAACCATGTCCCTGTAATCTTCTTTGCTGGCAGGGACAAGGAGGGGCTGAGAGCGGGGCTTGAGGCACAGGCATTGTCAGGCTGAGTGGGCCAGTGTCCAGTCAGACATGATTATCCTCCCAGTGTGGTGGCTGAGATGCACAGAGCAAGCTCCCTGGACACCTGGGGCTGAGTTCCCCCTCAAGCAAAGGTCTGAGGCATGGACAGGCTGAGGTGGGTGGGGGTCGCCTTGCAGGGCTCTCTGCCCCAGGCAGGGCCCCCGTGAGGGGTGGGTGGCTGTCAGGGGCCATGGCTCTGTGGTTGTGGGCACAGCTTGAGTCTCCACCCTGTTCCTCTGAAGCCCTTCCAGAACCAACGGTCTAGGGCCTGGACCTTAGAGCTGAGCAGGAAGGAAATAGCAGCCACCATAAAGTGGAGGGGCCGTGACTTTGTGCTCCTTCTCAGGCCTGGCTTTATGGCCCCATAGTGTCTCCTTTCGGACAGACCATAAATCAGGCCTATAAAACCCTCACTGTGACAGAGCGTCCGCAGCAGGGGGCACGTATGAGTCCTCTTCCATGGGAGTAGCACATCCTGCAAACAAGGGGCTTCCTCAGAAACCATGGTCACAATGGGAGGAATTGCTGGGGCCTGACATGGTAGCAGTGGGCAGCGTAAGTGCTGTGGGGCACACAGGAAGGGGTGCCCGGAAAGGGGTGCGGGCTGCTTTGGGTGGTGGGACACAGAGGTGGCTCAGCATGTACATAGGATGTGTAGACATTGGGGGCCTCCCAGTCGCCCAGGTCACTGGGTGAGAGTGAGGATGGCTATCACGTCTGTGCCAGGCATTCATCATAAGGGTGGCGTGGCACGCAGGAGTCCTACCAGTGTGTAGGGACCTCCCCCAGGTGGCTGTCTTCCTCAAGGTCACAAGGCTGGCAAGGATAGGGCCACCACAGTGTCCTCAGAAGAGACCCTGGGCCCTGGCCACCTGGGTGCTGCACAGCTCCCCTTGCTTTCCTGCCAAGGTGTCTGCTCCTCTGAGTCATCTCCTGTGATGACTGCTGTAGGGGTCCTTCTAGAACAGTGATGGCAGGCCTTTTAGAAAGTGAGTGCCCAAACTGCAACCCCAAACCCACTTACTATCACAGAGTGCCAACATTGCAGTTAAACCTCAGTATTAAGGTTTTACTTTAGAAAAAAGAACTTATACAACTTGTGACATCAGAGAAGGCTCTGCATGCCCACTGCAGCACGTGTGCCGTAGGTTCTCCACCACTGCTCTAGACCATAGACTAAAAGCTCCGCCCGTGGACATCTGTGACTCCCTATAGCTGCACGATGGCACTGGAGTGCCCCACAAGGACTAGAACTCCTGCTTTCTGGCCCCTCAGCCTCATCCCCTCCAGTTCCTCAAGACACTCCACACCCTACCCAGTGTCCACACCGGTCTCAGGTGACCCCTCCTCAGCAGCCCTTCCCCACCCATTGCGTCCCGTTGTTCAGGTCTTTGCCTGAACCCTGCCCTCACCATGTGTGTCTGATCTGTGTACCTTTGTGTGTCCAGAGCCTGGTTGAGGGCTGGTCTATAGGAGGAGCTCAGGCAAGTGAAGGGTGGAGAGATGGATCAGGACTCCCAGGCAGAGGCCTTTGTGGCACCTGAGCCATGAAGGGTAGACATCTGTGTGTGAGCCAGTGAGCTGCTGGACCTGGGAGGCACAAGCCTGATTGTCAGGGCAGAGGGCCTGGAGGTAGCAGTGGGGCTCCTGCCACGCCCTGGGATTGGGAGTGGGGCTGCAACTTCCTCAAGAGACCCTGTGTAGTTCTATGGGTGACAGTCTCCCCCCTCCTGCCCAATTTCAGACTGCATGGAGGTGCTATGCTGCTGAGAACCCCGACTCTTCCACCTGGAAGATCTACGTGCGGAAGCCTGCCCGGAGCCACACGCTGCTCTCCCCTAGCCCCAAACCAAAGAAGTCTGCCATGGTAATGGTAACCAGTCCCACCTGCCAACAGGATGGGTTGCTTTTTAGCAGGTGGGGGACCATGGAGCCATAGATTATGGCCAGGGTGTCACAGTACCTTTGACTATAGTCTTTCAGCTTGGTGTAGTCCATATCAGAGTGTCAGCACCATTTTGGACTCTGGGGCTGTATACCCACAGCTGGGTCCCTGTCATCCCAATGTCCCTACCCTTGGGGCCATGCAGGCCTGGCCACTCCAGGGGCAGGAGTATGGGAGAGCTAGTGCCCCAGGAACAGGGTATGCTGGATTCTGGTCAGTTGCTAGAAAGCAGGCTCATGAAAGGCCCTTGGTGTTGCGCTTTCCAGGTGCCAGTGGGGGACAGTGGTGGTATACCAGCTCAGAGAAGAGGGTCTCAAGGTCACAAAATGGAGAGATTCCCACAGTCTTTGGCCAGGGGTCTTACGGTTTGGCTGGGGCGAGGAATGAAGGCTTGGATTACGCCCTTCCTGGCTCCGCCCATACCTTCCTCAAAGAGGCAGCTTCTAGCTGCTGGTGGAGTCATTATATCTATTGTTTCTCTGCCAGAACGTTCTTCCTGACTTCCGCAGAATGTGCTCCCATCCTTCCCCAGCTGACCTCCTCAAAGGAGGAGGCTGCCTCCAGTCTGTTCACTCTTACATTATCTGTTGCCACAGCCTCATCACTACTCCCCTGTGCGACCTACTGTATTAACTGTCTACTGGTCCCCATCTTCCTGCACTCAGTGGGCTGTGAGGCCCTGGTAGCACCAGCATGGCGTGGGCACACCAGAGCCTGTCCCATCAAAGGCTGCTAGAACTCGGGCCGAGTTAGGCTCCTGGCAGGCACATACTACAGGGCAGGCCAGGGCTGCTATGGGTGCCCTGGGGCCAATAGAGGGCCCGGCAGAGGATGCCCAGGAACAGCTAACTTATTGTGTGACTTTTTTTAGGTAAAGAAAAAGAAGTTCAAACCCGACAAGGACAACGGAGTGAGCCCTGGAGAGAAGATGCTCACAGTTCCCCATATCACGTGTGATCCCCCAGAAGAGCGGAGGCCAGACCATTTCTCTGTTGATGGCTATGACAGTCCTGGTGAGCAATCTCTCTGGTGCGGTAGGGTGGGGAGAGGCGGGACCAAACCATCTAGCACTTCTCAAGGGCCCCACAGTGCACATAACAGTCACTTGTTTTCTTGGGAACCTGAGCACAAGAATGAGGTTTCTTCTTGGACTGGAATCTCCACTAATGGAGGATGGACAGAAAGGGGAACCTTCTAGAAACTTCTGGAAACTTTTTAGCTGCTTTCCCTGAGTCTTTCCTGAGGAGGAGGCTCTCCAAAGATTCTGTTGAGAGGAGCCTACACTCTGTAGGACCTGGTGACAAAACAGCAGTGGTGCCAGCATTTCATGTTCCACGTCCTGGTTGCAGCAGAGTTTTATCCCTGTTGTACTACCTAATGAGGCTCTTTCCTAGATGTGGGGAAAGCGTTGCTAGGAGCCCACAGCACACACCTCCAGGCCACACAGCAGCAGTGTGGCATGTTGGTAGTGACTGCTACACACTTTCACCAATCTTAGCCATTTCCCATAGTGCTTCTGGCTGACCAGACACAGGGAGGGCAGCCTATGGGGACCCTGCAAGTCCCTGTTGTGTTACTGGATTGTGTCAGAGATCAGGGCAGGAGAGGGAGGTCTCCCCTTACCAAACAGACTTAGGGAGCACGCAGGAGGTTTCTATCATCATGGAACCCAATTCTGCAGAGCATTTAGAAGGTCAGGGTTGTGTATTAGGCAGCTCTATGGGCTGTGCCAGTCTGAGAACCACAGATTTCTGGCCATGATGGAGAGGGAAAGCACTGGGGTTGCAGCATAGGGTGATCTCCTGTGCTCACAGGTACTGAGACCTGGCACACCAAGCTCCAGCTTATTCCAGGACAGCTGACTGTTGTCCTTTCTTTGGTCATTGTCCCCACCACTGCATCTTGGCAGAAGGGCGGGCAGTGTTCCAGAAAGGGGCTGTGGTTGTTCCCTGCTTCGTGAGGCTGTGTTGGGCATCTTATTTGTCAAGCCCAAGCCTGAGTGCCCCTCCACTGGGAACCAGCCTCCCTGTGGCCTCATCAGATGGCATGGGATTTGGCTCAGACTTGGACACATCATGATGCACCACTGGGACATGCTCCCTGCCTGCCCACTGGAGCGGGCACAAAGGGTAATTGTGCCAACAAATGCCCATTGCCCCCACAGCTCTGGCTTCCGGGGGTAGGACCATTGTCTGGATGCAAATGGGGGCTTTCTGGGAATGCTAATAGGCAGGTTGGGCATGACCAGAGGAAGCTCGGGATGCAGCTTGTGTGCCTGCCTTGGAGAAGCCTCACTCTGTGTTTGCTGAGCATGGGGCTGCCCAAGCTGAGGCCGTGCATTCAGCCCGTTTCGTGTTATTAAGTCGTCAGTGATGTCTGCAGCATGTTAATGAGGTACAAGTACAGAGGAGGGCAGGCGCCTTTTGTAGAAGGCTCCCACATCAAGGTTTTTTCTCTCCTGCTAACATAATAAGTCAGCCTAAACCAGAGCCATTAGATTTTGGAGCGTGAGGTATTGGCCGGGGCCCCAGAGACCAGGAGTTGCCTCTGCCCTGTGGGTTACCCGATACGCCTGTGTCTTCCTTACTTGGGAGACTCTTGGAAAGCCCTGACATGGAGAGACAGAGTGCTAATCCCAGGACAGATGCCATCACTGGGAAAGCTTCACAGTCCCTGCTCCCATGAGGCAGGGCCCAGGCAGCCATACGCACTTCCACTGCCAGAGCCAAACCTCGTCTGGCATATGCTTTCTGGGTGCAAGGACTGGGCAAGTTGGGCAGAGGCCACCCCAATCTTGGTATAGGTCACCCAACTGCACAGCACATACTGCCCTCCTACACCTGGCCTTCTGGCTCATACACAGGGTGCTGCTCGTGCAGCAGTGGGACAGAGTGGACGGTAGCATGGGCCCAACTTACAAATGAAGAAACAGAGGCCCAGGACCATGGAAGACCTCCCAAGACACACCGCTGGGCTCACCCAAGAGGCCTGTGCAGCTGTGAGTCCATAGACCTTTGCGGAGTCAAGTGAGGGGCAGTGTCCCTATGCAGGGCCATCAGAAACTAGACCAACGTACAGCAAAGGTAAGGTGTCAGATCCTGCAGAGAATCTGTTCCCTCTACCACAGCAGGGCCTCTGCCACTTCTGGCCAAGGCAGGGAGTAGAGCCATCAGGAGTTCAGAGCAAGAGCATAGAGGGACCCAGCCAGACCCGGTTTCCCTGCAGTAAAGTATAGTACTGCCCATTACAGAAGATTTGTGGGAAACCAGGCCATATGTCCCTGCGCTTGCCAGCACCAAGGGCCTGGGTCTCCAGCTATGCAGAGGCAGAAGTTGAGGGCAAGGCCAGGGACTTGCAAGGATGAGGTACCATTGTCCATACTCAGGCCAAGGGTTCCTGACACTCATGTTCTAGCTGCTGCTGCTTCCAGGGATCCTGCACACTCACTGTGTGCTTAGTGGGACATCCTGCCTAGGGGGTGTATTGGGTGTATCACATGCAGTCCCCAGTGTTTGTCCCCACTTGTGTTCCTAAGCTCTGCCTATGAGCCTGGAACAACAGGGTGCGGTTTTGTACACCCTCAATGCTCCTGCTCACCTGGTATACTCACCTGGACAAACTGAGCCTCATACTTTGGTTCCTTATCTCTAGGTTGTGTGTCAGAGCTATGTATTTTGGTGCTTCCCACAGGATTGTTTTGTTTTTTGAGATAGGGTCTCACTATGTAGTTCAGGATGGGCTTGAACTCACTATGTGGCCTAGGGTGGCCTTGAACTCATGGCAATCCTTCTGACTCAGTCTCCTGAGTGTGGGGATTACAGGCATGCACTATCACACCCAGCTAATCTATTCTATCGGCTCACTTCACCAAGCCACGATCTCTAGCTGGCCTACTACCTTCTGAGTCTCACTGGGACTTTGGTAGGCTTTGAGTCCTCTTGCCCAGCTGTCTATTGGGCCAGTTTTGTCTTCTTAGAACATCTTCTGAATTAGTTATTCTTAGTGTCAGTGCTGCATAAGATTAAGACTTGCTTACATTAGTTCACAGATTTGCAATTTCCCTTCTTAATTGCACTTGATTGCCTCCTCACTGAGGCCCAGGGTGCCTTCCCCGAGGTCTTTGAGGCTGTATATTCAATTTTAGCCTGGCTGCATTTTTTAAATTTTGCCCTTGCTCATAGGTGATGGTTTGATTGGGGGAAAGTTACAGGTTTCTATGTTTATTTTCTCTGAGCATTCTGCAGATGTAATTCCCCTTTCTCCTGGCTTCTGCAGGTAGTTCAATAATGATCATCCCTTCCTAAGTGACCTCTATGGACTATGAAAATTTGCCTGTAGCTTCGATGTGTAGTAGTTTCATTTCAGTGTGTCATGGAGGTGGGCTATTTTTGTTGCCTACACTTGTTTGTGATTCTGATTCCTAAATTTGAGGGTTTATGTTTTCTATCATATGTGGAGGTCAGTGCCATGATAACACAGCTTCCTTAGCTTCATACAGGTTTTTGACAAAACCTATAGTTAACATACTAAATGAAGAAACACAAACTACTTTACCCATGAGATCAGGCGTGCAACAGGAATGTCTATTCCTAGCATTTCTAGTCACCATGAAACTGGAGGTTCTTGCCAATAGAATAAAGCAAGGGAAAGAAATTTTAGACATTAGGTAGAAAAAGAAGTACAACTGTATTTTTTAGATTTCCTGGGTATCTATGTAGAAAATCTGATGCATATATAAGATGACCATTAGAGCTAATGTGTGAGTTTTTTAAAGGGGAAGATATAAGATCAAACTGCAAAATTCACTTATGTTTCTAAATTATAGTGGCAAATAACCTGGAATTTAAATTTTTTAAAAACAGCACAGTAGCATTGGAGATATGAAATGTATAACTGATAAAAAATATGAAAGAACTGCATACTGAAACCTACAAAACCTTGCTGAGCGAAATATCAAAATAAATGGAGAGACATACCATGTTCACAGATCACAAGACCCAATATTGATCTTTAAACTGAATGTAAAACCAGTCAAAAATTCAGCATAAAATGACCTTAGAATACCAAAGCAGGTTTGAAAATTATCACAGTGTTGGCAGAGTAACAATATCAGTGTGGTACTAGGATAGAGATAAGCAAAGAGATCAGTGAGGCAAAACAAGAGTCCAGAGAGACCTACATAGTTACACATTGCTCATACTTAATCCAGACCTAAAGGTAATTTGGTGGAAAAGTCTTTTAAAACAATGGTCTTGGAGCAATTGGATAAACATGCCAAAAAATGAAGTTTGATCCACATCCTACCCAAAAAAATGAATGCAAAATTTGTCACAATTAAATTCAAAGCCTAAGACTGTAGAACTTATAGAAGAAAACATAGAATAGCTAAGGATTTCTATGACATAAAAAAAAAAACACAAGCCATAATAGGAGCAAATTGATCATTTGGACTTATCAGAATTAAAACATTCTCTTTAAAAGAAACCATTATGAGAATGAAAAGACAAACCAGAGACTGAGAAAAAATATTTTAAAAGCATGTATCTATAAAGGATTTATATCCAGAATATAAAGGACACTTAAAACTGAATAATAATATAAATAGCAAGTTATACAAAGGAACACATGATGTAAATAAACCCTTCAGCAAAGAAAATATATGTGGAAAAGCTGCTCACACAAAAACATGCTCAACTTCATTAGCTACTACTACACAATTATTAGTATCTAAAATTAAGGAATTTGATAAGACCAAGTGTTGATGAGGACACAGAGGAGCTAGAATTCTACATAACCTGGGTGGAAAAGGAAAACCCTAATTGGTGTAACTGCTTTGGAAAACAGTTTAGCATTTTATATATACCCACCAAATTATCCAGCTGTTTTCCTCCTAGGTATTTAGCAAGGAGAAATAAGGATATAGGCACATACCAACACTTACAGATGGTGTGAAAACTGGAAACCAAAAACTGGAAGTAACCCAAATGACATCAGCAATTGAATAGATTTTTTA